CATTTTTACCAGCGTTAAAAATGCTACTAGTTTGCTAATTCAAACAACTTTGTATTTTCACTAATAACAAAGTTACTAATGGTGGACACTTAATTTGGATAACCCTGTATATTTTCATCGGTTCTTGAAGATGAGTGCCTTCCGCTTCGTGGTTCATCTTCAATAGATCCTTTCCCTTCTGAAAACGCCTTAAGCCACCGAAAACCCTGGCCTGTTGACAATTTGACGAGTTCCAACATGTACTGAAGGAGGACCACATGTTCCCCTATCTCCCCTCCAACACCGGAGCCTCCAGTGTTGCCAGATCATAACTTATTTTACAAACCTCCTTAAACACAGATAAGACCCAATTGATGAAATGTTCACTAAGAGAACCGGAATTTCGGTATGTTTAATACGAGGGATGTCTTTTAAGTTTTGCATATGGAAATAAAACAACATGGTAGGTAGTTTTAAATGACTTTATTGTTTTTCGAAGTATTCTCCACGAAGATTAATACACATTTGCATCCGCTCGAACCAATTTTCGAAGCACTTATTCCACTGGTTTGCTGGCAGATCCAAAACGGCATTTTTGAATGCGTCAACTGCTTCTTCTGGTCAGTGGAACCTTAGACCACTCAGTCGGGACTATATGGAGGATGGTCCAATAATTCCACGTTTTCTTCCGTTAAATACTGCCTTGTTTCTTGGGCTGTGTGCGAGCTTGCATTGTCTTGGTGGAGGATGATTCTTCTTTCAGGGTTGATTTTTCGAAGCTCAGTGATGACTTTTGGCAAACAAATGGTGGTATATCAATCCGCAGTAACAGTTCTATGCTCATTAAGAGGAATTGTTGCAATATGACCCGCTTTTGACACAAATGTTGCGACCATCTTTTTCGAAACACTTCGAGAACGGATTACTTTTGTTGGCTTTTCTTCACCTTGGAACACCCAAACAGCCGACTGTCGATTATTTTCTGGTTCATAACAGTAAATCCACGATTCATCACCACTAACAATGCTGTACACATTTTTTGAGTTTCCGGAATTGAAACGGTCAAGCGATTTTTGACACCAATTAACCCTGGCTGCTTTCTGCTCTTCAGTCAACAGATGGGGTATCCAACGAGAAACTAATTTTCTTACTCCTAATTCTTCATGTAAAATTGTTTGAATTGAGGTCTTTGAGATTTTCAAGGACGCCTCAATCTCGCGATATGTCACATGTCTATCTTCAATAATGAGTTTGCGCACAGCATCGACGTTTTCCAGGGTGACTGCCGTTTTTGGTGCACCCACCCTGGGATCGTCGCTAAGACTCACCCGTCCACGTTCGAATTCTCAATATCAACAGGAATTTCTCGACTGATGTGGCGCTTCGTTGCCGAAAACAGACAATAACTCAGCAAGGCGATAATTGCATCTGAAAGTTGTAATAAATTATGGCGCGAAAATGTTCTCGGTTGAGTTCCATTTTTCTAATGACTTGGTGACACTTAAAAATTCACTGTAGTGAGAACACTGCACGTATCGTTGTGAAACTTTGAATTTAAGTTTACTAAAGGGTGAGGTTAAGATTCAGTACTGACGTTCGATCCGCGCGGCCTAGTATGTTCCTATATGCAAAACTTAAAAGACATCCCTCGTATTCACCATTGTATACGCGTATACAGCACCCCAAAATAGTAAGAAGTGGTCGATGCTAGGTCTTATATGGGCTTTGTACAGAATGGGGAGGTTATGTTTGTAGACCTTCTTCGAATTTTGTGTCTTTGATTTCATAGTATCAGCCTTTCGATCATTGCAATGTCCGCTCTTTTTTGCGCAGTTCACTCCACAATAAGATTTATTGTTCATATAGTTATTTTAAGTAACATAGGTTTTAATGCTCCTCAATTAGGTAACCGTTATTGTGCTACATTTTACTCTGATTTCTGCCACACCAATATTTTATCCAAGTCTGCCGTTTAATAGTAATTACTAGTAACTGCTATATATTTAATGACACTAAGTCTCTCGTCATCCTTGATGAAGTTGTAAGGTCGTTATTGTGATTATTTGCTTATACATTGTTATTCTCATCTTTGTACTTGTTTACTGAGTATTATTGATATTTATTAACATTTCCTGCAATCAGATGTATCTGCCTGTTGGATACAAAATTGTTACTATTATTATTATACTAAGTGACATATAAATCCGAACACCCAGTTTAAATGGTTTTATTTTAATAAAATTTTGTATAAGTACTTAATGAAACATAATAAGTAAATGATAAAAATTTCAAAATGATTGCATTGCTTTAAAGCCCTTTGACCTTAATAATGTGTGGATGCACCCTGATGTGCCACGCATTCTCCAACGCGCCTAGGCATGCTTCTGATCAGGTGGTCAATGTCCTCCTGTGGTATCTCATTCCAGGCAACCACCAACTCCTCTCGAAGTGCTTCTAGAGTCTGAGGAGGACGTTGCAAATTGAGCAATCTCCTACCCATCATATCCCACACGTGCTCAATTAGGGATAAGTCGGGAGATCTTGGTGGCCATGGTAACAATGTGACATCATTATGTTGAAAGAAGTCTATTGTGACTCTTGCAACATGTGGTCGGGCATTATCTTGTTGGAAAGTTGGATCTGCCAGGGTGTCAAGATAGGGTAAAAGATGGGGTTCTAGAACGTCGTGGATATAACGCTGCGCGTTCATGTTACCTCTGATGAAGATTAAAGGTGACCTGGAACCATAAGCTATAGCACCCCAAACCATAACTCCAACAGTGTGATGAACATGTTTTTCAACAAAAAACTGTGGATTCCTCCTTTCACCACGTCGCCTTCTAACCCTGGCACGACCATCGTGCATGCCTAAACAAAATCGAGACTCGTCACTAAAGACAATACTGTTCCATTCCTGATCCCAGAGTGACCGTTGTCTGCACCACTCAAGGCGATTACGTCGGTGTTCTCGAGTTAAAGGGAGGACCCAGTGTGGCCGGTATGAAAACAAGCCAAAACTTCTCATTCGTCGGTAAACACTTCGCATACCAATAGGTCTTCCGTGTTCTGCAAACCATTCATTTGCAATGGACCTGGTAGTGGAGAAACGGTCCCTTAAGGCCAATAATCTTAGGCGGCGATCTTCACGGTCTGTTGTTCTACGGCGGCGTCCAGTGCCCCTTGCTCTTTACGCACGGCCTTCTCGAAGCCATGCCTGACAACACCTAACCACAGTGTCTACACTTCTTTGCACTCTAACTGCAATTGCCCGAAAAGAAAGTCCAGCTTCCCGAAGTCCCACTATACGGCCCCTATCTATCAAATTCACTAAGTTGACGAAATCGTACAGGTCTCCGTACTCTAGGCATCGTAACCGATCGTAAAGAATGTCAAGAACCAAAATCCGCCAACGTTGATTCTTTACTGCGGCTGAAATATTCATTTTTAGAGCGTTAGTGAATTAAATAAAAGCAGTATAAAAACCGGAATGTCCAACTGATAAGGCTGAAAATTTTTTCACTTGTTATTTACAGTAAGATAAATACATTCACCAACTTTTATTAAAATAAAACCATTTAAACTGGGTGTTTGGATGTATATGTCACTTAGTATATTTAATGACACTAAGTCTCTCGTCATCCTTGATGAAGTTGTAAGGTCGTATATTATTGTTGATTATTTACTTATAAATTGTTATTCTCATCTTTGTACTTGTTTACTGAGTATTATTGATATTTATTAACATTTCCTGCAATCAGATGTATCTGCCTGTTGGATATAAAATTGTTACTATTATTATTATTATTCACTTTTTCCACAGCTTCTTTACGCTCGTATATTTTGGTTCGATGATATCAAGCGAATATCTTTTTATTCCAGGGGAGTTACATGACTGGAAAGTGATATTTATTCTGGGTGTAGAAATCTACGCATGTGTTCAGAATTACTGCTTTCTGCATTTGTTGGAAAATATAATGTTCCAGTTCTAGCTCTTCAATGTATTTGAATATGTTTCACGTATAGTTCCGATATTGGAGATGACTATCTTCTCTCCATAGGTATTTTAATAAATTCATAACAAAGGTCGATATACTTCTTGATCTTCTGTGTAAAAGTGTTTCCCATGTTTGTGTCATTATTTACCGTTATGTCAATGAGCAGGACCTCGACTTCCTTTTTCTTCCACAAGGTGATATCTGTCTATTATTATTATCATTATTATTATTTCATTCGTTCACGTTTCACTGTTACAGACAACGGGATATGTTTACAATAGAGAAGGAATTCACCTGTCAATTGCGAAAAACTTGCGCACTATATGACATGTTTGCAATATTGCTGCTTTCTGAGTTAACGCAATTAAATGCGGTGGGATGTCAATCCTTTCCAGATATGATTGGAGATCCTTAGAAACTGCCCCTTCCATAGACACTACTACTGATATGACTTGTGATCGTCTCCAAGTGTTCTTTATTTCTATTGCTAGGCTTTGCTATTTCTCAATCTTGCTTGCTTCAGTTTTGTTCAAGTTGTTTGTCAGTAGTTGTTAATATTATTATTATAATAAATCTCTTTCTGGCAAGATATCTTTCGACGATTCTCAAATATGTGCAGTGCAAGTTTGTGATTGCATTGATTTTTGGTAAAATAGTGCCTTGGGTTGTTCATATCATTAAATGTTTGATTATGTCATGTGTTTTTAGAGATGAGCTAATGGACATCCTTTATTTAACACAACAATAAGCAACATATATAACGGTGTGTTACTGAATCTCTATACTACTTTCAAGACAGATTGTAATTAAAAAATTTGATCCAAACCCTATGGTATTGTACCAAAGAGTACTGCATAACTATTTGTATCGGTCAAAATCCAACGCATACTAGATGAATCCGTCCTACAAAACCCCCACAAAAATATCTGGCTATCAGCTCCTTAATCTAATAGGCGTTCCTCGCTGTGATTGGTTGAGCGGCGTCAAGGAGGCGCGGCCTATCGCTGAGACGCCGTTGCGCGTTAACGCTTTTGATCCCGGAGATCCCCGGGGAACCGGCAAAATCCACAGAGACGGTTGTAGGTAAATCAGGAACGAATGATATACAGCTGTTTTGAAAGAGATTTGCATCGAAGTAGGCGTGGTTTGGTGCACGTGAGGATCCAGAAATTATCCAGACGGGGACGGTCAGTGATGTTGCGACTTCAGAAGTGCGTGGTTGAAGTGAGGAAGGATAGTGATCGCGCGAGTGGTTTGAGGTTCTAGTGATGGTGATCCAGTTTATGTTGTGGAAGTCAGGAGTTTCAACTGATTACATCTATACGTAAAGTGAAATTGGTGAGTAATTTTTTAAAAACGATTTTTTATATTGTACGATCAGTCCAATTCTCAGCTTTGGTGGTGATAGCACTATACACGCAGGCATTGAGAGTGTCAAGCCGATAGAAGTTATCACTGATTGAAAAAGCAGTAGTACAGTTTAATTATACGAAACAATAAAACACCGCGACTAACCAAGGACCTGATTTAGCATGGACATAACTCGTGAATCGCGAAAGGTGCTGGTAAACAGGTTTTTCTACGTAATCCCCTCACCATTTTCTAGGAACACACCCAGCCTAGAACATTTTTGGTGTGCTGCCGCACTGACTACACTGTCCATACTTGATGTTGGTCTCGAGATATTTTCATACCAACTGGCGGGCGGCGATCTGGCTCTCCTCTACTCCTATGCTAACGGGCGTTGCTCCTCAGATCTCGCCTCCAGAATGCCGCTACGCGATATGCCTGCCAGACAGACCTGCCTGACTCGTCCTAACTTCGTCATACTTCGTATATCCTTTGCTTTTGTTTCTTCCAGTTCTAGGCACTTCAAAAAGCGAATTAACAAGGTGTCTTTAAGCTTGTTATAACAGTTGTCTTTTCAATATTTAAGGCTATGCTACTTTTTATAATTTACAGTACCCAATCTAGCAGTTTTGAATTCGATATCAATTACAGTATGAAATACTATTGGTTCTAACCTAGTCCAAAGGTGTACGCATAGCCCTGGGCTTGTTTCTCTTCAGGCTACTGTTTTTTGTTAGAAATCCTGAAACCCCAGAAAGTTGATTTCTGCTTAATGAAAGTAGTTCCACTGGCCATAAAGGCGTCCTACAGTTGTAGGACCGACTGACGATATGGACCTTAATCTGGCACGAACAAATCTCGTCAAAAGGGATGCTATTTGTTTAGGGCTAAGAAGTACTTTTTCCAACATAAACTCAGAGGAGGACTATTGGACTGATCTATGACTCTTCTCTAATAGACAGCCTCGGGACCCTTTCGCGTCGGCGGGCCGTCGGCAATCTAGTTCTCTTCTACAGCTACACCAATGAGCTTTGTTCCTCAGAGCTGTCCTCTACGAAGCGGCCGCGCGATATGCCTGCAAGGCAGACCCGCCTGACTTCCGCCTCCCATCCTGAACGTGTCGAACTTCGTACATCCAGACCTGGCCGATACGACCGCTCCTTTGTCCCTAGGGTGTCGAGATTGTGGAGTGATCTACAAGGGGAGGCATTTCCCGATTCTATTAGCCTCAGGCAGTTCAAAAATCCGATTAACAAAGTTTCTTTGGGATCCTCATATCTGCCGCGGTGCCCTGGCATTTAGGCTTGTCGCTACATATAAATCCAAGACATTTTTGTATTGAGTGGTTTGGGTCTAGATGACCCATGACCCATTTTCTTCTTAGTTGAATCTAAATTTTCAGCGATACGCCTTCTCCAGCCTCATTTCAAAAAATTCTGACAAATGACAAAGGGTATTTACAACTTTTACGTAACAATGAGCTTCCAAAAAAGTTTTATAAACTGTAACCAAGGTACTTTGTTACTACCCTGTAATTGGAACAGATGAACTACTTTCTCATAAGCTTGTTCACCTTCTTATTGTCTTCGTTACCTGGACGTCCTGCTTCTCACTCCAAAGTCACCTTGTATTGTTCCATCAGTAGACTAGTGTTCTTTTTCTCAAATCAGTGCATATAAAGTTACGCCATAAAGCTACAACATATATGCTTTGTCTTGTCTGAGACTGTGTTAATTCAGCATGCGAGAAGAAACTTAAAGCAATAAAAAAGATATTGCTGTATTCAGTTCGATATTATAGGCGTGTGACCGGTGAGACTCCTAAATTGATCTTACGTTTTTTAAATTCTTGATTTGGGTTACTTAAAGCAAAAGAAACGTTTATTTCAAAAATATTAAATGAGGCTAAAGAATTAAACATACACATTGCATTTGATACAGCTCACGTGGTTATTTCTAAATTTATGTGGACATGTGGGAACAAAAAATAATCCTGAAAAAATGCTATACCATGACAACCAGGAGGAGGTGTTGAAAGTGACCAACCCTGGATTCAATAGCAGTCCGTGTTCTTCTCACAAAAACTCTCTGACTCTGGAAAATACCTAGCGTAGTACAAACAGTGTTGAAAGCCTTTTTATATACTTCGTCCTGATCCGAAATGCCAAAGAATTTTGAGAAAAAGAAGGCCGATAATTTCTGAAGTAAAATAATGATCATTTTATTAAAATTTTCTACGCTACTGAATGAGAATAAGACGCGCATATTATTCAATTAATATTGTAATGAGGTTTGATAGCTTTCTTCAGATGCCTTATAGTGTTTCCAATATCACTTCACGGTGTTTTCAGAATAGTGAGGGTTAAACCCTTTCATAAAATAATTTAGGATTGTACCTAAAATATTCAAACCTAAATATCTCCAATACGAAAGATCTGACAACAATTTTTCAAGAGACAGAATTTACAGAAAATAGAATGGTATTTTATAAAATGCACGTTTTCTCTGAAAAGGTAAATGGCGTAGAAAATATTTTCCATTAGGTGTCCAGATACCCCAGTTTCTACGCCTGTGCTTTAGTTTGCGCTAGAAACTCTGTGGATTTATTGCTGATGATGTGCTTACTGAACGTCTAAAATCCTAACGCAGTATCTTCACCCGCTCCGTAAATAAAACTTAATCACCCTGTATCTCGGCAGGGGAGCATCTTTGGACCCACATTTATTTGAACTTTTTTGTTACTTTTAGTTGTACTTTCTACCCCAAAAACATTGCCACATTTTTCTGAAGCACCCTGTATAAACTGCTAATATTCAAATGACAAAAGTAGGATGGCCCTTTTCTTTTGACATTACTTTTATTTGTCATTGTTATGCTTGTTCATGCATCAATACAGGGAATTGTACTTTTTGGCAAATAAATTATTATTATTAGTATTATCACTTATTACATATTATTTCGGCTCTCAGTTTTCTTCTGCATTGTTCCAGACAAAATCATCATGAACTACCACCCCTACTCAACCTACAACCACCTTTACCAACAACAGAAGGACAGGATCAGTCCTTACGCATCTCAAACACAAGGATTCAGCGATCAAAGAGACTTTGTGCTAAACCAAAACATCGCTAATAGAGACATCGGATACTACGGGAAGTCTAGGGGCTTCTACAAAAGCGCGGGCGTGGAATATTTCCGTAGAAACCTAGAGGATAGAAGACGAGATGCGACGGATAGCATGTCTACTAGCAGCAGGTCTTCTGAAGATGATGCTAAGTCAAGGTATGAGAAAGTACTTTTTTGTTTGTCTTAGCTGGCAATCCATCCTCCTTCACTAGATTCACTTGGAGATCAAGGGTTTATTATTTGCTTAGCAACTATCCTGTTGAACATGTAAAACGAGGAAAAACATCCATAAAATAAATGTCAAGACAAAAGCTACTTCTTCGTTTGGAAAATGCTCCAGCCATTCTTGACCTCTGTTTCTTCTGCAGCCAAAGAGTAGATCGGGGATACGCAAGCGCCGAAGATAGTTGCAGTGGCATTGACGACGACGAGTCTCCAGTCGATCCAATGTCCACCGACCATGACCCTTCCTCCAGCGAGCACCATGTCCTGGAACCCGCCAGCGGATGCATGGGAGGAAAGGAGGAACCACGTAGGTGTCTGGCATGGGCGTGCAAGGCGTGCAAGAAGAAAACCGTTGCTGTGGATAGGCGGAAAGCCGCTACGTTGAGGGAAAGGCGGAGGCTAAGGAAGGTTTGTAGAAAAGTATATACAGGGTGGTGGCAAAAGTACCGGAACGACGATAACTCCTTGAGAACACATTCCACGCGAAAATGCTTGTTGTAGGACTTGTTCTCAGTTATCGGTCGATGAGCTTTAATTAGACCTTGATTTTGATCTTGAAGGTTATTCGAAGGTCAACTTTAAAATTTCAAATGTTACCCCCTACTTTTGATTCGGATCATCAGAAAGGCGGAAAATTTTACGTTCAAACAAGTCCTTGAATGACAATCAAGGATAACCCTCAATGATCCTTCTAGGTCAAACTTGCATTTAAGGAAAAAAACGGTTGAAATATAAGCTGTATGATTTTTCCTCAGCTATCAGAAGGTGACCTTGGATTCAAACCTGACCTTGAAGGTCATTTTAACGTCAACTTCAAAATGTTAACTGTAAACCCCTATTTTTGATCCCGGCAATGAAACGATCGAATAATTTTACGTTTAGATATGGCTTGACGTAAGACAGTCACGAAAATTTCTGTTATAACTGATGGGAGCAATTCAGCTGAAATATTTTCAAGATGGTAGTATTTTTCCAACACGTCTACTATAAACCGTAGTTTTCACAAATGTCTAACGTCAACTTTTTAAATATTCGATGGCTGCAGTTCTACGTGAAACATCCTGTAGATTTGAGAAAAGTAGGATCACTTGCAGGAAAAGCCTCTAATGTTTGGAATTCTTAAGCGATGCCGCCAACGTTGCCCGAAGCGATGCATTTTTCAGCGAAGGACAGTTTCGGCATGATACGGCAGTCTTAATTACGAGCCCCTTCCCACTTCAGTTGGCCCACTTCAAAATTTGTACCAAAATATGCCTTTATAAACTAAACATGATGAAACTATTACTTCTACAACAATTTATTTTCTCAAAAACATTTTACATACACTCTAATCATAAAAAATACATATTTGAAATCACTTAGACCTATAACTAGAACATCTGAACAAATAAACAATGTGCGAATAAGTGCGCGAAGTTAACAAAGCAACAATTGAAAGATTACCATTGGCTAACATCACCTTTATTTTTTGTTACGGGTGAAATTCTTTGAGGCATAGTGTTAACCAAGTTTTGGTAAAAATTTGGTGTAAAACAATCCCATATTTCTTGAAGCTTTTGTCTCAGTTCGGTAATTGTACGAGCAGGATGTTGTCGTAGAACCTTTTTCATCTCGTGCCACAAAGTTTCAATAGGTGACAGATCTGGACTGCTAGAAACCCATTTCAAAAGTGGTACATTATTTTCTTCCATCCATGTTATAGCCTTTTTTGAGGTATGGCACGCTGCACCATCTTGCTGAAACACAAAATCTTGCCCGGATGTCAAACATTCTTCCATCACTGGTAAAAGCGGTTCTTCTAAAATTGCCAAATATTTGTTTGTATCCACATTTCCATCAATAAAATGAAGTTTTCCTACTCCTTTTGATGACATAGTGCCCCAGACCATAATGGATGCTGGAAATTTCACTTTTCTCTTCAGACAGTCAACATGGGATCTTCATTTTTTTGCGAATAACTCTACTGCGACTGCCACCAACACAAACTTCGAATCGGGCCTCATCACTCCATTGTATTGCACACCATTGTTGAGGTGTCCATTATCTATGTTCTTTAGCCCATCTAAGCCGATTTTTCTTTTGCAGTGGAGTTAATAGTGGCTTTTATTTGGCCTATAAACAAGTTGTGCAACTTTAGGGTTTTTACTTCACGTTTTTATAAGAAAACCTACCTTGCAAGTGCTAAATCCCAGTTTGTGGGCCTCTCTATGAGTTGTGGACCTCGAAATTCTCCTTCCAACAGCGTCACTCCACAGAGCACTGAATTTTAAATAATTGGCACGCCTGTTTTTCACGATTATTCTTCTTAATGTTCTTCGGTTGGCATTTGTGATATTACTTTTTTCACATATCGTGGCTTAATATAAACTGAACCAGTTACGTTATATCTTCTAACATTATTTCTCACACTGTACCGCGATAAGTCTAACAAAGTTGCAATTTCTGAGTTTGATTTCCCAGAATTAAAAAAATTAACCGAATTTTCTCACTAATAACCTTTCCTTTACCATTTTGAAAACCTTAACTACCCAAAACTATTTTAAACGTATTCTGACAGCTGTGATTAATAAAACAATTGTCATGGCTTTTATTTTTCACAGCCACCTATGCATTATAGACTAATTTTGCATTGAAATGAAAATAGGTTGATATTGTGTAATTGCAACATATGTTATTTTTATGCTACAAATTTGATTAGGGAGTGATAAACTTGGTGTTTTCTACTATATATTATCAAAATATTCATTGTTAATATTTTAAACCTATAACACCCTGCTACATTTTTATTATTATTATTATTATGATAATTGAGATGAGCAGAGTACACAGTACTATAAGCTCATGCAGTAAATATAGTGTACGGACACCTAACACAAATACATCAAATAGAAAAAAATAAAAAAATACAGTTCATAGCTATAAAGTTTGTACACTCCTCCAGCTATCATACTGCACTTTGAAGCTATTAACTGAAGTAGCACCAACCACACTTTCAGGTAAACTATTCCAGGTGTTGAGTATGCGGTTGGGAAGAAACCACTGTCGGACTGTTGTTTTAAATGGCTCCTTATGCAGTTTGAAGCTGTGTCCGCGTGGATTGCTGCGCGACAGATGGTATAGATGCATGAGGTTGGTGCCCATTAAACCATGAAGTATCCTGAACGTAACTATAAGATCGCCACGAAGTCTTCGCTCAGAGAATGAGGTCAGGTTGAATAATGCAAGGCGATCTTCATAGCTTGGTCTTCGTGCTCCAAAAGGGATACGAGTAGCCCGACGCTGTACTGATTCGACGAGATTTCTATCGCGCAGAAGCACAGTGTCCCATACCGGGCCAGCGAATTCAAGAATTGGCCTCACGAATGCCTTGTAAATGTAGGCGCAAGTGTTGACATCGGATTCTTTGAAAGACCTCTCCAGCATATATAGAAGTTTCTTGGCTTTTGATGTAACGTGGTGAATATGCTCTGACCAGGAAAGACGATCGTTGACTACAACGCCCAGATCAGTGTGGCTCGAAACTGCTTCGATGTTGTGATCAGAGATCTTGTATGTAAATCGCGGATTTGTCTTCCCGAGGTGAAGGACACAACACTTAGTTAGATTTAAGGGTAAAAGCCAACTGACTGACCATTGACAAACAATATCAAGATCTCGTTGAAGCATAGCAGAATTTACGACAGTATTGTAAATCTTGGTGTCGTCGGCATAAGCTGAACATGTGGAGGAAATCAATGCGGGCAGGTCACTTGTATACAGAAGGAACAGCACTGGCCCCAAGACAGAGCCTTGAGGAACTCCACTTGCTACATGATGAAGGTGAGACTGGCTATCACTGACGCGCACAGAGAAAGTCCTCCCGGTGAGAAAAGCCTTAATCCACAGTAACAACTCGCCTCTTATTCCCATACATTCCAACTTAAACAGAAGCCTTCTATGTGGTACGCGATCGAAAGCCCTAGAAAAATCTAAGTAGATTATATCAACAGGAGTCTTTGTGTCCAGATACTGAGTCCAATCGTTGAGAGAGTGGAGAAGGTTGGTCATTATTGATCGACCAGGGAGAAATCCATGCTGATTCTTAGGGATAAGGTCATTTTCGAAAGCAAATGACTGGAGCTTATCTAATATGATTCTTCCAGCTATTTTGGCGGCGATAGGAACGTTTGATAAGAAGAAAACTAAGATTTTAATGGTTGGGCCAACTGATGTGGGAAGGGGCTCGTACATCTAAATATGTTGACAAGATGATAATCAGTTGGACTCTAGGTCCAGACTAGACGAGAAATGCAAAGTTCTAATTTTTCAAATCTAATTCGACTGTACAATATTTTTTAAATGTCGCATTCGTATTCAGCCCCCTAAATTACACAAACAGAAAAATGACATGCACATTTCGCCCTACAAAATCCTACAAGATTTATTTCACTTTCTATGAGAGCATTTTTGAAAATCCCTTCGTGTCTGTCGTACACTAGATTTACTAGATTTCGAATCCGTCAAAGGACCTTAGAGCCCACGGGAAGTCTCATATTATACCTTAAATTTGGCCTTACCATCTATTTAGTTTCATATTAAAACCCTAGTACTCCTTTCAGGTGAATGAAGCCTTTGAGATGTTAAAGAAACGAACGTGCAATAATCCAGGCCAAAGACTACCGAAAGTAGAAATACTTCGAAGTGCCATAGAATATATAGAATACTTAGAAGAAATACTGCAGGGTTCCAAATCTGCTGCAGAAGGAAGTGATATTGTAGACGCTAAAAACGAATACGTGGTAAGTACAAACTTGTGTCACTAGGTGTAACAGTTTTTTTTTTTTCAATATTAACGCATGCATCATGCGGAAGCTGGATTCAAAAAGTGATGAAGATTAAATTTTTATGCAGAAAATATAAAAATTTCTTTAACCCGAAGACATCTAACCTAGTACTATATTCCAGCGTCTAAACAATTATCCGATATAAAATGAGATATCATGATGTCTTCTATGAAAACTTGTCTCAGCTATGTTTCTCCTCTCCGCAGTAATTAGCAATCTACTTTGAATGTTCGCGGTTAATAGATGGCGCTGTAGCCAGCTATAACTCATATCTGTTTGGCAGCCTTTCTATAACTTTTGGATAGATAAACTTAAAATATCCGGCGACGATTACTAAAGTACCTACATTTCAAGAAAAATGTAACCACTGTTAATTTCGTGCGAGATATATTGCACAGATGCCTTGGTATCTCATTTCATCTAGGATAATCCTTTGAACGCTTGTAGAGAGTGAGGTCATGTGGAGAAAAGTACTTCTTAGGCCTAAACTCAGCCATCCAACCTCAAAGCTTCTATGGGAGGTCAAAGAATGAAAGTTTGCATACGAGGACAGCATGCCACAGCTGATTGAACGATTTCGTGATACCATATATATGAATATTGTCATTCGAGATCCAAGAAGAGGGCCTCTGGTGTCTACGGGAAGTCAATAAATTTCTGTTGGACGACACGTGACTAATAGATCCCTTTGAAGTAGCGTCAGTACTCTGGACGCCTCATCGTCCGTAACAGATAAAATGCCTTCGTTGCTTCCAGAAATAAATACGAATCCAGCGAAAAAAAGAAACAGATACACTCACACATCGTGCGGTTTTTATACGGGAGCTGCTAAGCTGTTATTATTAAAAGATAAAAGTGCGCCCATACTTTCAAAGAGATTTATAGTCCAGGAGCTACATTATTATCAAAGCCTTTAATGGATTCTTAAGATCCCTACAACTTTCGTACCTTTCTTTTGTATCTACACCTCAACATTTATGTGCCGAAAAGTCTTACTCTAGCAGTTTACGAGATACAGAACTTCAAAATCGTACACCTAGTACTCATTACAGTTCCGTGTACATTTGCCTCCTCTATAACATACATGTATATACATCCGCAATCGTAAGTAAACTAGCTAGCGTTATACAAATTACTCTTTCAACGGAATATTCAGATTTTGTCTCCAAAAAGTATATATTCTGAGTAACATTTCTGAAAACTTGGTGAGGCATAACTTGCCCTCCAGAATTCAAACGTAAAATTTCGCGCCAAACATAAGACGTACTAGCGAGTAGTGTAAATGTTACCGGCAATCTGTATAATCCGGTATTCTATACAATACCTAGATAATGTATAGATTACCTAAAACGTGTAGGTAATATTATTTGTTTTATACTTTGCCTAGGTATTCTATACAATACCGAATGCGCAGCCGGTAATGCATGTAAAAGACGAGAACAAGGAAGATTTTGTGCACTTCAAAATGTCACAATAGTTCTTCATGTAAAAATAAATAATTTGGTCACTTACTTAATTAACATTTTGACCAGGCAGTAAACCTACTTATTATTTTCATAGGATTGTTTTGTTTCTTAAGTACATGTAAGAATATTTTTTATTCTATTAAAATTTTGACTAAGCAGTAGACCTACACTGCCTATATTTTTGTTTTGTTTCTTAATTTCTTTATACGTAATACGTACGTACTTGTAAGCAAAGAAAGTTATTATGTTATTTATAGCCAGAATAAATTTTAGTTTCACGTTAATTTTACTGTGATTTTACTGTAGTCACAGAAAGGTGCTTGTTTGTACCCTTTTCATAAAGCTTATTTTTAAAGAGCACTTTAAGTCTTAATTTTGATAAAGTTGATTTCAAATAATATAGCTTGTTTCATTTGCCCGTCATTTTATAGGTATGCCGGATAACATTGTTAAATTTAGACCAAGATCTATTTATTTTACACATTGCCGGTGGAACAGCAGGTACTCTATACAATCCCTAGGGATTGTATTCATTACCTAGGTAAAGTTTGTAATGGATAATATTATTCATAATATGTCATACATTGCCTGGGCAACCAGGTATTCTATACATTGGCTAGGTATTGTATAGAATACTTGAATCATGATATATAAGACGAACAGTCGAAGGTGATACTAGTAACGTCGCTCCTTAAATCGTAGGTTTTCCGGTAGTTTATAGTCAAGTGAAAATTGTGAAATCTGCCAGGAGTCGAGTGTTTAGTGCACTCTTCATCTCGAATGTAAGATCTCCACTATTGCATGTCAAATATTTGAGTTATTGCACATTTCCTTATACTGATCAGCAATAAGTGTTATTTTCGTACATCACTGGAAAGCAGTAACAAAAACTATTTGCTCGAAAGAAATGGTATGTGTTTTTTAGATCAGTGAAATTAGGTCCATGAATTTGGTGTCATGGCACCTGGTATCGAGATCTGCAAGGTATGTGATGACAACTTTATAGTCAACGCGAAGGCCATCAGCTGCATTATTTGTGTCACCAAATACCATACGTCCTGCGTTGTTGTCAAGGATAGTTGGCTGGAAATAATTGCTGAACGCGAAAATCTTCTTTGGCTCTGCGATGATTGTCTTTGCTCCATTAATAAAAACAAGATAACCTCTAAGGCCGAAACTACCTTGCTGGAAAAAGAAATTGAGTGTCTTTCTAGAGAACTGAATTTAACTAAAAAGTAGTATCTGAGTTGGAGTACAGTAATGGGCTACAAAAAGAGGTGCTGAAAGCTCATGGAAGCAAGATGGGGACATTTGAGTCTGCTGATTTGCCTCGTCCTAGTACTTTCAGTGATGTTGTGAAAAATTCACCCAAGCCTAAACTGGTCTCTTCTGTGCTTTGGTGAAAGCAGGAGGCGAGAAGGTTGTTGATTCCAAAGATATTCTGCAAGAAGTCACTTCTTCTGTTAAACCTGGCGACCTGAATGTTTGTGTAAATGGCACAAAACTGATCAAAAATGGAGTTGCTGTTCATTGCAAAGACGATGAATCCCTAGCTGCCCTCAAAACTAGCTTGAGTGGTAAATTGGGTTCCAAATATTCCTTTTCTGAAGCTAAAAAGCTCAATCCACGGATGTTAATTAAGAACGTAAACCTGAATGGAATCAACACCCCTGAGGATATCTTGGATAGCATCGTTTCCTTGAATAGTTCTCTAAATATTCCTAAACACGATATTAAATACGTAACCAAGCTGAAGCATTTCAACAGCGTTAATGTCGTCGTTGAGGTGACACCAGCCCTTCGTAAATCGCTTCTTCAGGAGGGGTACTTGTTCATTGGGTGGAAGAAGTCAGAAGTCTGTGATCACGTCTGTGTTATGAAGTGTTTCAAGTGCTGCGCATTTGGCCATATTAGTAGTAATTGCAAATCTGATTTAGTGTGTTCTAAGTGTACGGGAAGTCATAACATTAAAGATTGTGTATCAAACACGCTTCAGTGCATAAATTGTCTGAATTATAATAAGCGTAATAAAAATAAATTACCCACAGACCATCCCACCAATTTCAGAAATTGTCCTATATACATAAACCATGTAAAAAATCTCAAAAATATGATTCAATATGACTAATAGTAATAAGGGATTAATGAATGTATGTCATTTAAACGTTCGCTCCTTGCTGCCTTCTTTGGATGATTTTTTTTGCAATAACGCGTGATAAATATGATATTATTGCAATTAGTGAATCATGGTTAAACGATTGCATTGATGATGGTGCAGTATCAATGAATGGCTACAGTTTATTCCGGAAAGATCGGGGAGCTAGGGGTGGAGGTGTTGCTTTGTATGCTAGGTCATATCTCAATTGTACTTTAGTAGATACGAACCCTATCGACTCGGGTGCGTTGGAAATACTTTGTTGTCAATTCACTATATCTAGTAGCGGATATCTGATAATGCTCATTTATCGCCCTCCTAATTGCTCTATAAACGATAGCATTACCATTTTGGATAAGCTCCTATCATTTTTCAGCCCTCAGCATGACAATATCATAGTATTAGGTGCAGCAAGCTTGGAAAACCCTTGAAGATATGAGTATCAGACGACGGAAAAAAACTGAAATTCCAGATGACCTACTCGAACCAGACTCTCTGAATGATTACTTTTCATTGAACTCACAGGCTGCTAATATGAACTCGAGGCTAATTTAGTCTACAATTAATAAATATGATAATAGCTCCTTCTGCACTAATGTTCCTTCATTTACTTTTCGCTACGTTGACCAGCATGAAGTGCTGGATGTTTTAACTTCTATCAGGTGAGAAACATCGGGTTGTGATGGACGTAGTCATAAAATGATACATCTCTGCTTACCAGAAATTTTGAATCACATTACTCATATTATAAATGTGTCCTTAGAGACAGGGATTTTCCCAAGCTGCTGGAAGGAAGCTATCGTTTTGCCTTTGGCGTAGATAAACAGCCCCTCTGAGTATTCTCACCTACGGCTCATCAGCATGTTGTGCTTTTTGTCGAAGGTTTTAGAGAAAATTGTCTACATACAGCTGGCCTACTATTTTGAACAAAACAATATGATTCTTCAATATCAGTCTGGTTTCCGTACAGGGCATAGCACAACAACCGCTTTATTAAATATTACGGATCATATCATCAAAAATGATCAGATAGGAACAGCTCTGATTCTGCTAGACTTCTCTAAGGCCTTTGATATGGTACATCATGGTATTCTCTTGAGTAAGCTCAAATTTTATGGTCTCTCTGACAAGCCACTACGTTTCTTCGATTCGTATTTGCGCAATCGTACCCAGAAGGTGAAAGGTAAGGGAGTTTCTTCGGCAAAGAGTGTGGTATCTGGCGTACCTCAAGGCTATGTGTTGGGACCATTACTCTATTTAGTTTATACTTTTGATCTACATACTTGCCTTCAGCACTGTAATATTCAAACGTATGCAGATGACACGCAGCTAACTCTGTCTTTTGATTCTTCGGACAT